AGTATATTTGGGAAATCCCTCAAGGTTTCGAGGATAATCGTAACAATATTTTAAAAGATGTGAAATCCTTTGCGAGCACTTCTTTTTCCCAACTAAATTTTTCTAATTTCTTTAGTGTATACAACTCGTTTATCTTACTTCGGCACTGGTCTTCTGTTTTAGAAATGTGTTTCTAATTTTATTGCTAAATGGGAAGAATTAAAACGAATGGCACCTTTTTTGGCACTTTTATTTTTCTATTTGGCACATTTTGGCACTTTTTTATCCTCTATATGGCACCTCATAGCTAACAATAGTTGGCAGGCTTGGCTTGGTCCATGATTCAATAATACAAGGTTCGATAAATTGACAGTTGTCTCTCTCGCACCGCTCCCTTAGCGGTGGCACCGTGTTGCTTCTTTGCAAATTTACCTGGAAACAGTGTAGCTTTGGTGTGAAATAAAAGTATAAGCTTTTGTGCAATATGTTTATTTGTATATGCATATGAAGCATATTTAACTGATGAAAACATAAGCATTGGATGTTTATATCAATCTCATAGTAGTCTTATTTTAATTTTGAGTCATTTTGCAGTTTTTATACAGCTAAATAGCATATAAATTACGTAATTCACGTAGATATATAAATATTACGTTTAACATTTCGTTTAAAATGCCAGATTTCCTGCAAATACTTAAGAATTTACAAAAGGAATTTCACTACTAATTGCCTACTTTGCGTACTTTTCTACTACCATTTTCGCAACAAGGGATTGCATTCTTGCCCTTTCTCTGTCCTTCGCAAATGCAACCTTTTGTAAGGGAGTGTCAAACCGCAGCTGTCAATAATTATCTAACCTTGTATTATTGAATCATGGGCTTGGTCGTTAAATTTAACTATTCCCCACATCTACTCGTCGGGATTCCACATTCGAAAATATTCACTCGGTGTTCTGCCAATCAACGAATTTGTGGAGCCAGTTTGCTCGCATTTTCGGTATTGGTTGCACGCGTTGTTTAATTTTGTTCATTTGGCGGTGTTTGACCACACATACATATTAAATCAATCGAATTTTCCTGCAAATAGAAATCTACTACAGCACAACGGCTGACAGGAAATACAAATCTGCAAGTGAAGGTAGAGCGTCAAAGTATTAACAATTGGAAAATGTAAAACGTTGCGTTTTAAATCAACATTAAGTTGAAAGAAAACACAATTTCATTTGAAATTATTGTGAGATATTGTGTTGAAAAAAAGATAGAAATATTTTGAGGCTCTGTGTGTAAAATTTTATGATTTTACCAAGGGAAAACTAAAAAATAAGCTGGAGTTTGGGAAATTTAGAGCGTGAAGTTGAGGAAAACGCAAGAAACGAATAAGAAAAAACTGCGAAATTCCGCTTGTAGAAAGGTGAGTGTATGTGTGTATGTAAACGTGTAGTGCGCTCGTCAAAGTGACGAATGCGCTTGGATGAACGAACGAATCGCTGTGGATGAGCAAGTGCGAAAGCACAATGTGTTGTTTTCGGCAAGGCGCGGCTATTATGTGTGCGGAAAGGAGTGCGCAAATGTACGGCAATTTTTTTCGAAAGTGCAAATTGCGAATTCATAAAACAAGAAAAAGAAAGAATTAAAAAGGAGTAAAAGAAAATAAAGGATGATGATTAATTCTATAGATGAAGAAACAAAAGAAAGTTACTGGCTACTCCGATGATGACGATGCACTAAACTTTAATAGAGGATGTTTAATTCGAAACTAAGCAATAAATGGATGCATTGGCCAGGAATGGGTTGTGGCTTAAAATGTATCTAGTAGGAAGCACAGAGAAAAAATTGCGAAACACAGAGATAGGTATGGTAATTTCTTGCTTCAGTCTCGTCGGGTTATTCGCCGTTGGAGCAAGATCTGATGCATGCCTTATCTTTTTACTACATTCCCTACCTAACTGTTGTCAAAGTATTCGTTAGGGCATACATGAGTAATTAAAAAAATTTAAGCATATGCATTTAAAACGGTTAGCACTCAGTGATTGCATGGTTAGATACTAACACCTGTTCAAAGCGTGGCCACTCCCAAGAATACAGGAGGTTTTGTATACTTGCAGGACGCAATGAGTAATATGAGATTATGCATTGGGCATATCTGTTGAGTAAACAATTTGTCATCGGCGTGATTTATGCTTTTATGATATTAAATGGAGTGCATTTATTACATCTTTATGCACATACTAATATAAGTATATATCTACATATTTTTTTTAGGTCTTTCATATTACGTCATCATTTAATAAATTATAGTTTATAAATTCCATCAAAATACCATAAGTATTTGTATATGTGTCTTGTAAGTGGCTGGGCGAGTGCAAAGCCGGTCTTGAGTTTGCATTCAGCCGCCTACTTAATTTTTTAAATGTATTGGTCAATTCGCCATCACCCTACAGAAAATCTGACAAGCGCAGAACTAGCGCAGACCTAGACCTTTATAATCTGATTAAAAAGTTGAAAATTTGCATGGAAATTTGCTGAATTTTTGCGAGCTTTGCACAAAGTTTAGGACTTAAATTTGTATGTTTTTTGTTGTAGAATGAACCATATTTTTATACAAAATTGGCGTAAAAATATTGGAATAAAAATTGTTACATACTATATTGTGAAAAATTTGCTGTGCCAATACTTTATTCCAGCAGTGTATATACATTTGTAATATGTATTACAAAATTAATATATAATAAAATTATAATTAAAGCTTACGATAAGTTAACCTTAACCTTTTACAACTTTCCTTCTAAGCTATAAAATCTGTGTTCGTATGGAATAGTAGCTTATGTCGAAATTCTGACTTTAGTATACTGCGGCGTTTGCAGCATACAATTGCGAATTACTCACTGGCGCCGAGTCGTTGAAGAACTTTTGGCAAATAAGCCTGCAAGAAATAGGTCCGATACTGGCAAGTCAATATTCTTTACAAGTCTCATCAAAAAATTCCTTGTCGTTTAATGAATAAAGGGAATGCCGCATTATACTAAAGCCTGCTTCCCGACATGAGCTACTATTCCATACGAACACAGAAATAGTTTATGTATAATGCATATTCTCGTTGCTGTTGTAACGGACGTGATCCCAAGCAGTACCGTAAATATATCACACGAACAACAAGCGTTCTAAGAGTGTAATTTCCAGGGCCGCCACAACTGGGCGGTTGGAAATGACTAGTTTCCAAACCGTCTCTTATAAATTTCTCAGAAAGAAAACTACGGAACCATGTAAGTTCGATGTTATCTATACCAATATATTCGAGGACTCTCTTTAGGTCCACAATCGCCGCCAAGATAAACTTCTTGGAATTCAGGTACTCCTCCATTGTGATAAAAACAAGTTAAGCGCTGTTTTGCATGAGTGATAAGCCCCAAAAACTGACTGCTCCTTAATGAATATTTTTTTTGGACTCAATATAGTTTATTAGTTGATTTTTTACATCCGCTGCCACTATTTTTTCTAAATTTGGAAATGTGTTTATTGGCCTAAGTTCCTTAGTTTTTAGGGTGATTTTGACCTTTTTTATTGAGACAATGGTCGAATTATTCCACTCTGTCGGTACTATTCCCAACTGAATGCTTTTATTTACTAATAGGGCGTAAAAGTGAACCATACATTCCATTGAGTCTTTGATTACATCCTCGAATAATAAATTATTTTCACTAATGTTTATCTGTCGAATCGGATTCAAAACGTTAGTTTTCTATATTCCGATTAATATCGACGATACTATCCACAAAGAGATTGTTTAATTTGTCAGCGATTTCAGTACTATTTCTATATATTTTGCCGTTGATCAGAACTTCTTTGATGTTTTCTTTGTGGTCTTGTATTAAACGACTCTCACGTTTACAAATTTCCACTTTGTATTCCATATATTGTATTGTTTTAATTTTAATCATTTACTTATGCGCTTTCTTTTTTCATTGCATTCTACCCAATCCTACCTGTGATCATGGTCCTTTGATATAACTTAAATTTTTTGTACACGAGAATTTAGTTGATGCATACCATCAGGACTGAGACTATTGAGGTAAGCGAAGGTGAATTGTCTCGAAAAATTGATGAGGTTGTCTGGGCTGTACCCATTCCACGAAGTTATATATTCTAAACATTTTATTGATGGGCCTTGTTTTTTTTTTTTATATTGCATTTGAACATTATAGTTTCATCATCCGCTATTCTATTTTCCTCCGCTTTTTCAAATGAAGCTGGCTTAGCGTTCGAGTACAACAAATCGATCAGTGTTTCGGAATATTCAGTAATCCTAGTATTAACGTTAATAAACTGTTATGTTCAGTTTCTTACAATATGTCGACATTATATACAGGTCTATATTAAAATCTCCGATAATGATGGTATTTAGCTTTAGCATCTTATCGCATAATTCCGACAAAATGGTATCCATATATGCTAGAAAATCAGCATCATTTGAACTAGGTGAGTGATAGACCACCCCGATTTTCCATTTGGTATCGAGATTTTTTAGTGGGGCTACTCCACACCAAACATTTTCATCGATCGATTTGTTTAGTACTATTTTAAGATCTAATGCGTTTCCCAAAATTATGGTTACCCCTCCTGTATGTCTACTGTACGAGTCACATCTTTCAAACTGATATGTTGGAAACTGTATTTCATAGTCGTACACATATTTCCTCTGTCGTGCAAGTTTCCGAACATAGAACTACATCCGGATCAACAATTTCAATTAGCCCTTCAAGTTCTGTTTTATGAGCTACTATACTACTTATGTTATGATAAACTCATTTCAGGTAACTGTAGTTATGCATACTTTGCACTGTTATACCGTTTTTACGTAGAAATCAAAACCCAACAGACTTCTACATGTAAGGTGCTATGCGCCCGGTAACAGCTTACACGCAAAGCTCATTTAACAGATTCCTTACAACTGACAACTCTCATGCAACGCCAAGTATGCATAACTGTGCTATTATGCTTTTCTTGTAATGGGTGAACCGTCAGCTCCATTGATACACTTGATTATTTGCTCCTTTGTACACTCCATAAATTTATGGTTACCCAAGCACTTCAGGCAGACCTTTTCAGCATAAATGGGCGAATTTTTAGAACAAAGTAAAATGTTCCTACAGCTTAGAAATTGTCCCGCTTTTCGCAGAGTTTCCAACGTCCACTACAATCACTACAGCGATAATATTTGTAAAGCTTTTACTACGCAAGTCACTTAATCAATCCGTCCGGCTAGATGTTAGTCGGTTCATCATGCACACTTGCCTCTGCTTGCCTCGTCTATATAATCAATAACAATGCTTCATGCTAAAATAAGCAAGTCCAAACAAACACACTAGCAAGGTATGGTGCAATGCACTAATGACCACAGTGGAGGGCCGCGCAGAAGACAGGGTAGTCGTGCTAAGGTCGTTGTACTCGTTCAAAGTGCCAGTATCACAATTACAAACGGCCGGTAATGTAAAAATGCATTGCGGTAGAAAGCAGAGTTTATTTATAATTGATTGCTTTGCAGAGATTATAAAAAATGTTGGATCCTACTTATCAATTTTTTGTATTAATTGATATGTTAAACGTCTTATAGCTACAATTCGTAAGCACCAAATTAAACAAAAAAAAAAAGTTTTGCGAGCAACTGTTAATTTGAAATATAATAATTTTGTAATAATATGTTTTATACATACATAATAGTCAATAAGTAATTTTTTAAGCAAAAAACAAAACCCTCTTCAATTCTCATATAAAAATTTAAGAGTACCGTTACTGGTCAAAAAGTATTATGATGTAGTGTATTTCATCGTTTGAAATGAATAAAAAATATAACCAAATAACCAGCTAACCTGATAACCAGGCAAGTGGGAAAAACCTCATTATTATTTAAGCTTTGATAAAAAAAATACTCTCGATCTCGGCCAAATATGCTTCTTTCAATAAGCTGTTATAATTTTCAAAGAATAAATTTTTTTTTTTATAATTCGCGAATACGAATAAAAGGAATAAGTCTCAAAATTTGTATGCCCAAAGTGTCAGTTGGCTGGAAAAATAAAACTAAATAACAATTTTAAAATCAGAGCGAAAAAGTATAAATCATTAAACAAATCACATCCCGAAAAAACACGGGACAATAATTTTTCGCATACCGAAATTCCGCGTTTATTAAAATGCTTTCTGGAACATCTGCTGAAATCGTTGTACGGGGTCCAAAACTGACGGCCATGTGGCCTGTGAGAAGCCTAACGTTTGGCTTTGATAGCCTTAGATGATTTCGGCTGAATGGCATGTTTTTTTTTGTCGTTTCTCCTCATATACATCCATATGTAATTTATGCCGCAAGAACAAATTATTTTCATTTTAGCCTTGGGTCATTTATTAATAATAAGTTTAAGTAAATACTTCTCTTTTTGATGTCATTCATTTTTACCTAGTTTATGATCAAAGTGCTGATTAACTTTTGACATTGCCTTACAGATATTTTTGATACGCTTTCTCAATTTTTATTTATGCCAACCTGTTTTTGAACGTTCCAGCGTCAATGTCGCTTATTCTATACATACATACAAACACTGAGCAACATATGGTCAAGTGCAAGAGGTAATGGAATAAAATAAGCACAAATCTGAATGGTTGTGTACGGTTATAGCCGTATGTATGTATGTAAGTACGTACATATGTATGCACTTATATAAGATAGCAAAAGTATGTAGGTAGTCTGCGAATCCAAAGGTGTGTTTATAGAAAGTGTTTAGTTGTGCTATTTAAACTCTTGTTTTATGTGCATTCTTTATGTATTATGCGCTGTTTTTTTTAGTATTTATCTGTGATGTAAGTTTAGTGATTAAATGTAATGTTTACTTTTTCTGCAGGTCAAAATTAGGTTCTAACATTAACCTAACTCTATCTAGTCCCTTGTTTTCGAACTCCGCGGTTGTTTTATTAATTTTGATCAGTGAATTGCTTAGCAATTGTTAGTGTTAATTACTTAATGAAAACGCTTTATAAATAGTGAGTTATGGTTCTTCCTTATTCTCGCTCTAATTAAGTTCACAATAGTATAATTGTTTAACATTCTACCTATGCAGCACCGACAACTTCCTATTTCCCCATTAAAGTTTTTCCTCATTCCAAAATGTCAGTATGCAGAGTTTTTATTTTGTGTAGGCTTGCCGGTCGTCGCTCGACCGACCGACCCAACCTAAGTTGGCTGACGCACGGTAAAGTTCATTGTTCGCTTGATATTGTTCGTGAAAGTGCTGACGAATGCTTCGTTTGTTGGTGGTGTTCTCATTTTGTTGTAATGCCTATTTTTGTTGTTTTGCCTTTTTGAAAAGAGAAAAATTGAAAACGCAGATCGTTGCACGTTGCACACGGCAGCAGCAATCAACTTAGGGAATTCGGTTTTCGTCATTTGGTGGCATGCGGCATGTAGCATGCTGTGATATTCATGCAGCATTAAACTTTTCCGAGCAACGCGGCTACTTGGTTGTCACCACAGCATAAATACAATTTTGTATGTATACGATTTGAAATCTTAAAATTAAATATTTTACTGTTTGTCCTCCTGAGTCATACGGTTGTCGGTGTGTTTAAAATAGACTCGCGGAACCAATTCCGTGGCATATCTTTGCCGCAAACATTTCGTTGTAGCACAAGGTAGAGCGATTGCGTGTCGCAAAGTGTTCTTTTTTTTTGCGTATAAGTAATCTTCGATTTTATATAGTTACTCACTGTACATAGTGCATATGTACATACATATGTATATATCGTTAGTATAGAAGGGAAAGGGCGTAACTCACATCGTTGCTGAAATGCAAAAAAGCCTCAACTAACTAAAATTTGTATTGCATAAAACTTTGTGGGGACTTATTTATGTACATATGTAATTCTATGAAATGCAACATAATCAATTAAAAAGTGAAGTTAGGATTTTTAAATAGTTACGGCTTTTGTATTTCAGCGACGATGTGAGTTACGCCCATTCCATACTACCCAGTTATGCATACTTGCTCTGCTATACCCAACTGAATTCTACGTGTTAAGTGCTATGCGTTGGCTAACCGCCTACACGCAAAGCCCATTTAACAGATTTTTATGTGACAACTCTCATGCTACGCTAAGTATGCATAATTGGGCTATAACGATATGTACATATGAACAGTGTCGGCTATATAATTTTGGACCAAATTTAATATAATTGGTCTGTTCCATTGAACTTCGGACTAAAATCTGTGGAACTGTCAAACTACAATTTTACTCTCTCAAGTGAGAGTAAAAGGAGAACGAACAGATGCAAAAAGTACTATTTCCTGGCACAAATGTCAATCGGATTGCTTACACGTCATTGGTACAACACTGATTTGGCTGAAAATCAGTAGTGGGAGAAATTTTGTGGTTTTCATCTATCACACTACACCCTAATATACTCGGACATTTCTTTCACAAATTCCACAAACGTTTGAGTAAACACTAATATAATTAAGACATCTGTTTTTGTTTATTGAAAAATGTTCATATTTGTAGTTGCGAACACCGCGATCCAGATATTTAGATAAATTGTTCTAAGCATTGAGTTTCAGTTTCGTTGGAACATCTGTTGCTGTTGCTTATGATGTGCGTGAAAATAACGTAAGTGCAAAGTACGCACGCGCCTGTCATGCTTCACTTATTGTCTTAACAATTAAATTAAATGTAGCAGTAATTAGTAGACATAACAGTTAAAAGAAAAAGTGTATTCATAGTTACATATATCAATGAAACCGTAATTAAAGTGGCGGCAACAACAGCAACGCAGTAAATTTTGATGGCGCCAAAATCGTTTCCACCTTAAAAAATTTCCTAATTTGTAAAATAAAATTTAAAGTCTAGCAAGCAAATTGCTTACAAATAGCGCAAATGAAGATATTTGCTATGGCAATGTTATAAATTACACCGAGCATACGCTCCGCTTCGTTACATCTGAAAATCGACTGCAACTTGACGCACAATGTATTGAAGTTATTTTGCCTTTGGTTGTGGTTTTAGGCCGCACATCTTATTATGTACAACTTTATTTCTTTTGTATGCTAAAATATTTGTATTTGTATGTTTCATTCTATTTATTGCAGTTGTTGCTAAGAAGAGACAAAACGTAAGCTACGAGTAGAAAAAGATTACGTGCAAGTGCACCACCACCACCACAATAAGCACTGGTTTAATTCAGTTTGTCGGCCTATCAGACAGTCATAACGATAGTGAAGAGAAGACGAGACTGTTAGTCATCTACTGAGTGTGCAGTAAAACAGAATCAAATAGCAAAAACAAAAAAAGAACAGGAATACAATAATAATACAACAATGGCAGTCAACGTATACTCCACAAATGTGACTACCGAAAATTTATCCAGACATGATATGCTCGCTTGGGTAAACGATTGTCTGCAAGCGCAATTTGGTAAAATTGAAGAGCTCTGCACTGGTGAGTAGAGGATTACATATCCATGTGTACATAATCATTTATTGCTTGCTTATTATTTAGGCGCTGCTTATTGCCAGTTCATGGATATGCTGTTTCCCGGCTCGGTACCAATGAAAAGAGTCAAGTTCCGCACAAATTTGGAACATGAATATATTCAGAATTTTAAAATCTTACAAGCTTCTTTCAAAAAGATGGCCGTTGACAAGGTAATATGAGATCTAGTGTATATTTTCTACTGCAATCAATGAAAACTTATCAGTTTCAGTTTTAAAAAGTATTATTTTCTATACAAATTTAGACTTTAGTTGTTTGAGTTTTAGATGAATTTTATTTTTTGTGTGGTTAGCATAGTTCATGTAGAATGATTTGATATTTGGTTTGATATGCGTAAAGAAAGGACGTTCGTATGTCAGAAGAGAAGTTATTGAAAGAGGTTTGGTTTTATGGAAAAAATAAAAATTAAATTTCGAAAGTTAATTTTTTAATACATGTGGAACGAGCTCAAGAGTAATTGAAAAATAAAGCCTAGCAATTTGAATGTACACCAATATCTTTTTTTGGCTCAAAAAAATATTCCTTACAATAAAAACATATTAAAAATTTTGCAGTTATAAAATAATTAATGTAGTAGAGAAAAGATTTTGGAGCCCAGAAAAACACCCTATGCGTAGTTCGTGTCCTCATGCTCTGCTCTACTAGTAAAGATTTATTAAAATAAAAAACCATATCTTACATATGTATAGTATATGAATATAAATACTGAAATTGCCTTCTGATTAATGATTTGTAGATTATACCAGTCGATAAGTTGATAAAGGGTCGTTTTCAAGACAATTTTGAATTTTTACAATGGTTCAAAAAATTCTTCGATGCAAATTACGATGGGCGCGAGTATGAGCCGCTAATAGCACGTAGTGGTATCAAACTGGGCAATGGCATTGGTGGTGGCGGCGGCAGTAGTGGCCGTGGCAGTAGCAACGATTTACTCGAGAAACGACACATAGTACAGATGCCAAATCGAACACACGCGCTACCGGCTGTAACTCAACGCACTACCGGTAGGCCGGACAGAGGTGGAGGTGGGCAAATAATAAAATGAGACAAAATGTCTTATACATACCTACAGACATAGATAGTGAAGTGTTGTGAGGAGTTGGAGAGCAGATGATTCATCTTAGCTTCCAAATTCTGCATGCTTCATAGATAAGGGTGCAAAATATTTGCAAAATGTTTAATAATCAACGTGAAGCACGAACCTATTTATAATTGAGAAGAGTAAAAAAAAAATCAAGAAATTAGGATAATAATTGAACGCATTTTACTATGATGACAACCCAAAGCATAAAGCTCACTGCACTCTGTACTAAGTACTCGCACATAAATATACATAGAAGCACACATTCGCACAAAATTGCATACGTATATACAAATGTACGTGCACAAACATTAGGTATTTGAAGGCACATGATGGTCATAATAAGGGGACAGAGGTCGCCTTGAACTTTACGTAGAATTCTTACTCGAAACGGCTGTTGGGCACGACCCGACCTGATACAACTCAAGTCGACTTCTACTCGCCGTCATTGAGCTAACACCCTGGGGGCATGTTTTTGTCTTTAGTACATAATTATAAACATATGTACGTGCTTTTAATATCCGTTTTTAGTATGTTTGCTAGCTACGTACATACAATACATTACAATACATACATATATATTTACGTTCATGTGGACCTTATTTATTTTATTTTTATTTCTTTGCATTTTGTCTATCACAACATACATACATTTCATCAGAACAGTTAAGAACGTGTCAGACGTGGCAATATTTAGACGCTATTCACTGTCAAATTGCGAAAGAGAAATTTTATTTCGATGTGTGAACAGCCAGAAAGATCTTTCTGTCACGTTTCGGAGACCATTTTCAGAAAAAAAAATTTGCAAGATGTGACTGCAATTGAGATAGCGGAAAGATTTCGGAAATATATTTCAACTTGCTCGTGCTGCCCTAGCAATCTGCAATTCGCTTTCGAAAATAAAAACCCTCTTTCGAAAGACACCTTACATGTAAGGTGTGACTGTGTGACTGCTCACGCAACTGCTTTCTGAAATTTCTCAATTTAATAGCCCTTTCGAAATATATTGCATTCCCATGTCTGATACGCTCTTTAGATCACTTTTACTGGCACTTTCTACATACATTCATTTATGCGCAGATTTTCTTGCCAACAGGTTTACTTGCTGACCCTGAACTTTTCACAATTTCGTCACTAGTGTTTTGCGTTGAATATATTCGTCACTAGCGTATTTTTGTATAAACATATTACACATGTATGTACGTATTAAACTGCTGCACAAGTGCATTTGGTTTTACCTAAGCAATAGGCAATACTTCAAATGACACTAGATTAGAAAACAATCGTTCGTGTATCTCAACAGAGCACGAAATACGGTTTTTTTTTGTTTGGTATTTGTGGCTTTTTTTTAGACCGCTCGACTGCTTTTCAAAGTTATTCGTAAGGGTTTCAAGCATTTTTTCGCAACGTTCCGAAAATTTTTGAAGTCCTGGAATTTATTAGGTCTTTCGCTGTTAATTTGTTGCGGAACCTTTTCAAATTATTCCAGGCGTTTTCGAGATTTTTTTAGAACTCTTATAAATTCTGCAGATTTTTTCGGTAGTTTATACTTTTTGGGGGTCACTCAAGACTTGTTGGGTTTTCTTCGTATTTTTTGCAGCGTTTTAAAAAAAAATATTAGTTTTTTTTTCTAATCATGCTTCTTATAGATGATTCGAAAATACATCCAGGGCTAAAATTACCGCCTTTTTTCTATTTAAAAATAAGTCTTTAGCCTTAAAGAAAGCTTTGTTCGAAATATTTTTTCAATTGAAGATTTAAGTTTACTTTTTAGTTAATATTTCCTATCTCACCAATAACTGAACTGAACATATGAAATAAAGTCTTTACCAGTGTTAAAAAAGCTCGAATCATCATATTTATTTTTAACTTAAGAAAACCCAAAAATTGCACTGTTATTTTAAATGAGCACTTGATTTGAAACCAGCTTAAAGTGCATTTGTGCAGCTGTTTAGTATATACAAATGCATATTGTTACGTATTTAGTGTATTTTCAAATGTTGGGGTATGTCGTCTTGCAAAGGTTGTTTTGAAGCTCGTAATTTTGGTTTGTTCCAGTTTTATTCACACATTTAATTTCAGTTTTTTTTTATTTTGTTTGAATTTCACTTTTTAATAAAAAGAATGTCACATTTTTTATTATACCATGAAATATGCACTTGGAGTTACTGGTCATGAAGGTAGCAAGCACTTCGCACTATACTGATTCACCGGGAGTTCGAAGAAGAAGTTAAAGAAGAGATGTGGTTAAATAAACCTACATATATATGTACATATGTATGTATGTATGTACATAGTTGCTTATACTGCTGCGTATTCCGAATTCGACTTGAAAAAATTAACATTTTTTATCATACTTTTTAGCATTTCCCCTTAAATGACGCTTTGGCTATTTTTTAATTGCTTTGATCTTCAAAAAAAATAGTTTTTTATATTATATACATATCTCATATATTCACCAATAAAACGCCGTCACGGCCAATTGTATCACTAAAATATGCACTCGTTTTGCTTTGAGCTTAGTGAAAACGAAATACTTTATTTACAATATCAACTGTGTTGATTTCTGAGTGGCAAAATAATAGTTGAATATATAATTACTTTTCATTTATTGGAAAACGCACTTACAGTTTTATGCTGCCACTTTTACGTATCATAACTCTTTGTGCCTATAATATGGTTTTGCAATATATTGTAACTCTGAATTTGCTAAGGTGTCTTACAAAAAGTAATCTACTTTTTAAAACATTTTTTTCTTTACGTTTTCTATGTTGCATCATTTCCATTACTTTTTTATTTCTCCCATTTTATCTTTTATGATTTTTGTCTTGTCTTTTCTTTTGCTTTTCACCTTGGTTCTTTTTTCGTATACTCCATATTTTAGATAATCCCAATTGACAAACTGATCAAGGGCCGTTTTCAAGATAATTTCGAATTCTTGCAATGGTTTAAAAAATTCTTCGATGCCAATTATGATGGCCGAGATTATGATGCCAGCGCTGCTAGAGACGGTGCACCAATGGGTTTTGGTTCGGGTGTGGTGAAAGCGTTACCTGGCACTGGTGGCGGTTCGTTATCCTCACGCAAGCCAGTTTCCATAGCACCACCGACGCGTCCCGCAACAACATCGACGACACGGCCCAGTATGTGGTGTTAAATTACCTACCTATATAGTATCTATATCATATGTACATATAAATCAATCATCACTTTCTAAAAGCGCTTTGTTCCTCCCCGATTCGCTTCTTTTTACATATATATATACTTTCATGTTTTTATATGTTTGCACTTATTTTTTTATTTGTTGTTGTATATGTTTACTATAATATATGTACACACATATCGCTCATTAGCTTCAATAATGTCAATTCAAAAAAAAAAAAAAAAAAAAACTCGAGAAAAACGGCTTTTTGCTACGGGTAATCGATACATCTTTGAAATTTTTACACAACGTAGAAGAAGAGGTAGTAGGAGTAATTTCTGCGTACCTAACTTAATATTTGTATTTTTTGGATTAGGACACTATTGAGGTACATAAATGAGCAATATGTACATTTTATATTACAGAAACGATTGGAAATTCGTTGGCGTGTAAAAATTATTCGTATTTATTTTATTTCATCAAAATTTATTTAATATTTTAGTTCATCAAATATTCGTTCAAAATCATTATTCATTGCTTCATAGTATTTGTGTTTTTTTTTGATTCATTTAACAAAATTGAGAGCACATTTTTTCCAAAGAAACATTTTCCGCATGAAAAGAAATCACTAGCAATCAAAAAAGCGTTAAAAATCTCCTTTTGTAAATTAAAACGCGTACGTGCTTCACGTTTGTTAAATTTACCCTTAAAATAATAAAATGTTTTCCTCTATTTGTATTAATACTGTCTGTAAATATACTTACATTGTAATTTCTTATTTTTGATCCTGATAACCCACGCATTTGCGCAGTCTCTAAAGTACCACCTCGCGCTGCACCATCTGTCGTAACTAAGACAGTTGCCGTGAATAATACCACCGGTGCGGTCAAGAAGTCTGGCGATGCCTCTAATGCGGTATCAAATCAACAAATTGAAGAATTGTCCAATCAGGCAAGATTTTTAATGAATGAATAAATGTTCTTAAATACATCCTTGGATTATCGCACATTTACAGGTAATGGATATGCGTTTAAACTTGGAAGGATTGGAGAAAGAGAGAGATTTCTATTTCTCAAAATTGCGTGACATAGAAATTCTGTAAGTATAAGTAAAATTGTGCATAAGTTATTGAAGCGTTGGCGTTGTACAGTTAAAAGACAAGAAGTTTGAAAATTGTAGCGGGCGACCACAGCTAAAAATCCGGTTTCAAATTCCGATCCAAGAATTTATTTTTTTTTTTTTGTAGCTTTAACCACTTATTCCAAGTTAAAAAGAAATAATAATTCGGACATCCTTTTCTAGCTTTGTGCTATTGCCGATAAATGTACATAGTAGTTATTCGCTTTCGGATTTGATTACATTTGCACGAATAGCAACCATACAATCCAAAAAGCATGATATTTGCGATTATTTTTACTTCAATTATTTTCTAGTTAATTGTTTTGTTTATTTTTGTGACGCCAATGCAACAAACATAACCAACGCTTCTGCACTATTATACATGCATTCATATTTTATGCATTCAAAATAAAAAATTTCAAATTTTTCTAATAGCTGCCAAGAAGCTGCAGAAGGTGACCCGCATCCTTTAATACAGAAGATTTTGGATATTATGTATGCGACCGAGGTAAAGCGCAACACTTCTGTATGTGTAATTTCATTTGTATATTTCTTTTTTCACCCCCAAAAATATTCCCTTGAACAAAATTTTTGAATTAAAAATTAGTTATTTCAAATGCCAATTTATGAAGTGAGAAATCAAGTTGAATCCAGTTTCAAAAAATAAAATGCAAAAATTAAACTCAATACTCGAACAAACAAAAGACAAAAATATAAATTTAACTTGTATTTTCTAAGCAAGGAATAATAAATAAAATGTACTTGTTATACATAAAGGAAAGTGTCGGGGTTGGGGTTGTATTTTCGAGGTTTAGATAAAATCCTGCCTGACAGAGCAAAACGGTCTACAGAATCGTGTTCAACGCATCAAAATACATACGAAAAGGATAGCCTGAGACCTCCGAACCCCGACACTTTTTATGTGGCAGTGTAATTTTTCGAGTTTTATGGAAAAACTAATTTTTTAAATAAAAATCTTATAATGTTACACAGCTCCTGTTTATTTTTGGTTTCTCACTTTATTGTTAACTGTAGAAATTCTGTATATACATACATATCTATTATGCGAAGTTTTTTTAAATTATAATATTTCAAATATTAAAATGATGTACAAAATTAAAAATTTTTAATTAAGTATCTAAATATGCAAATGCTTATTTTAGCGTTGGCGCATTCAACAAAAATATTTCTAGCGGCTTTGTGCGCGTAACGCACTGTGGTTACAGTTTTTATGTACCACCTATTGACATTTTTTCTTTAGATTTTACGCGGTTAATTGGCATTTTTTTTATTAAACCGTTCATATAAAATACTAACACATTTTGGCATATCGTCTTAACAGCCAATGACTTCTATTGATTTAAATTTATAACTTTACTTTTTTCTTTTTTCTTTCTTTGTTATCATCAATACACCTAAAACAACACGAAAAACACCACGTGGCCGTTATTTATCATTGGAACGATAAAAATCTTTTGAAAATATCATTTTACGCACTCCTGGCACCTGACACCACATCTCGTCTACAACCAACCTTCACCAACTGTCACATAACCTGCTGCATTACTCATCCCACAATGTGCATATGTTCATATTTGCACTGCTCCAATGTGTGTCACCTTTGCATATGTGTGTACATTTTATCCGTGCGTCTGTCAACATTTTCTTGCGTTCATCTGCCTAACACTCATTTACTCCTTGCCCATTTACATTTCATTCGAAACTTTTACACACCTATACATTACACATTGACAGGATGGTTTTGCGCCTCCGGATGAAATTCCGCCCGAGGATGAGGAGTATTAAGAGCAACAACTCACAAGGAGGATTGATTACAGAACTGCAACATAAACAGAAACAGATACTGAGAAAAAATATTATAATATACAAAAGAAGATTAAAAATAATAATACAAGAATTTAAGCATAATAAACTATGTTAAACATGATGGATAAATGTTGAAAATATTGATGTACTCTCAATGACAATTTAGAATGGAAAGTTATGGCGCTACTGCTATAATCAATGAAGCACTGATGAAGCCAACAGATAAGGCGAAGTATATTTTAAACTACACGCAAACAATCTAACGAAAGAAATTCAATAAAAAAAAAAATGTTTAAACATAAAACGTTAATAATAAAAGGGTATAAAAACTAATTGACTACTTCATGTGTGTAAATGTATGTACTTGGGACTGTGACTAACTGTACATACGCACATATGACTGATTTGCTTAGTAAGGTTTAGTTAGAGGAGTGCGTTGCCGAGCAACTGGGGAGCAGCAAGGTTTTGTGCGCTATCGGAGAGACTGTCAATATATAGCTGCCCAGAAACTACTACAGTAGCAATGTGCTCCTTTCAGTTTTGAGGAATGTTTTTTCTTTTCATAAATAACAAGTATTACATGGAAAATATGAAAAGCGTAAACTGGAGAAGCTTATGTGTATAAAAATAGTGCGTTGGCAAATTAAGTTTAAACCTAATTATTTATTGGCACTGCGAATTAAGTTTTTCGGGTACAGTACCCCCTCGGTAATTCAGGGGTTAAAAGGCCTTCCTGAGATACAGGAGGCCTTCCACTTTGCCTTCCTTTCTCCTTTCTATTTGGTATGGTTTGGCACAAATTAAAGAGCTAAAAATTATACTTCTTAAATATATTTATTTAAAGATCATACCAAATTTGGCATATTGCAACTTAAAATACATAATTCATTTGCATTGCTAAATAATGTTTATTTATATATTCGCGTAATGGTAAAAATGAAAAGCCCTCCCAGAAGGCATGCAGAGAAGCTCTTTTCTCAACCCTTCTTGGGTATACCTTTCAGAATGGCTTTACTTAAGAAGGCCTACCTGAATTATCATCTGGCATATGTACATATGATATGTAAGTTAATTTTGTGCATATTTTCGTGGTTATTTAGCTCAAACAATTTCAAATGTCACGTTTAAAAAGGTGGTAATGTAATTGGTGCTTCGCGGAAATCGAGGTTTCGCGTTTATCGAGAGTCGCGATTACTGAGGGAGGGGACACTGTACTTAGATTTATTTTTTGTTTACTTTTTGCTGAAGTGCGCATTACGTTGGCAAACTAGAATATACATATGACCCTATTATGCATGGATACTGATAGCCGATGGGCAACCATATACTAAAATTCGCATTAGGTATGGCAGTAGCCAGAGTTCAGTAGCGCAATTTTCTGTTTCCTGCTTATGTGATTTTGTTATTTGTTTATATAAGTTGTTAAACACGTTGGAGCAAAATTGCCAATTACATGTCAAAAAAGTAAATTCGGATGTTGTCTGCTCTTTTCTGTATACTGAGATTAATCGCTATATATAATACAAAGTACGGCTATTAGACCAGCAACTAGACACCAGTCGCTATACATAATAGGGTCAGTATTTTATTGATATTCACAAATTTAAAAAAGTACAACAGCTTTAATATTTTACGGTTTAATTAAATACTTTCCAAATTAACAAAAATATTCGTACTTTCAGCCAAATCCTTTTCCATTTAAATTGCTGGTGAAACCGGCTGTTAATATAAATAATCTTGGCTTTACCTCTTAAGATTGCACAAAAAAATTAGCGGTAAAAGTAGTACATATGTACATATATACATATATCTAAATTGGAAAAATTATGTCTGCGTCTTGATTTGACCATTATGAGTTACTGTTAAAGCTCTATTTTATTGCATATTGGCAAGTGAGCGCAGAACCTTCGTTCACATCCATGTATCACATCCGTTCGTCTGCTCTGACACGTGCACAACACGTCATTACCTTTTTTAAGTTTTGAAAAATTTATTTTATGTTTTCTGCGCTTGTTATTATTTCTCTATATCTCCATGTAGCTAAACAGTGCAGCAATTATTTTCAATGAAAATAAAATACGAAGCAAATTAAATATAATTAAAATTTAAAACTAAAATATCCATTTGCATTCGTGTTTTTTGTTTTGGTTTTTTAGTTTTACCTGTTTGCTGTATGTACATATATACTTTCTTTAATGTTTTCAATTAATTGAAACTGCCTGAAGAGTTTTGAACATAAGAAAATACCTAAAATTTGAATAAACTTTGTGGTGTTATTGCAGTCTTTTATATTTTTTGGCAGCTCATTATGTTCTTTTATTCCCTCATAATGTATCGAGGGCTTATATTCAATATGACCCATCTGCAGTTTTTGCCAAAATAATATTCTTAGCTGGAGAGTTTCTGTGCATTCGTATGACATGACCAAGCCAGCGAGGCCGTTGAATTTTAATTCGCTGCACTATGTCTATATCGTTGTAAAACTCATACCGCTCATCGTTAAATCGTCTGCGGTATTCGCCATCGCCAACGCACAAAGGCCTGTAAATCTTTCTCGAAAACTCCCAAGAGCCACCTCATCAGATGTTTTAATTGTGCATGTATCCGCGCCATACAACAGCACGGGCATGCTGAATAAGCAGAACAGATAATTAGGGATAAAAGAGATAACCGTTTTGACACAAGACAAGTTTTCCTCTCCTATAAAATTTGGGAAACCTCACATACGAGGTTTTGCATTTTCTTGATACGCGGTTTTGTGCTTTAAACGACGATATGTATATTGGGTATTAACTCCTTGATTCATCAAATGAATACATGGCTCATACATATCTATTGCAAAAAAAAGGCGCCAAAAGGTTTTTCATTAAGTGTGCCTATTCAAGTTAAGTTGGGCGTACATAGGGTCAGTTCGTAAATGCAACCCCCAGTTTTACTGCAAAGGTTTTTTTCACAGCTTAGTTCCAATTGGGCATTTAACCGTGTCTACGAATGCTGGACTTCTCCATAAATTATAGTTTAGAAATAAATTGGGCTGTTTTTTGCAGTAATGCGTTTACGAACTGGCTCATAACTCTTGTCGTGTAGGTATCTTGCTTCTAAAGCAGCTGGTTGGTTGGCTGTGGTTTCATCGGAACAATCTGGTAAGTTCCAACAAACGTTAAATCTTAAGACATTTGATTGGCTAATCTTAGTTTAAACCAGCCAGCTCGAGCGTTAAACCGCAGCCAACCCCAAAACCCAAAAACCCAGAACCCAAAAGACTTTAGCACTAAATTTCAAAAATTTAATTTTTTGAGTCATGACATTCTTATAGAAAATTTGCGAAATGTACATACATATAGTACACATATGGTAGTGTGATGTAGAAGCATTTATGAACTACCCGAACTCTTAAAACTTGCAGAAAGTTTTTTGGTTATTCGCAAGGTTTTTGCTTTATTATGGGCAACATTTATTAGTACGGCCTAATTTGTATAGTTAAATTTTCTCGCCGCTTTTTCTTTTATTTAAAGTACGGAATGAGTAAATGCGGGGATCAACGCCGAAACTCATTTTTTTATGATGTTATACGATTTTGTTTTGCCGCTTTAATTTTGTTAGTATAAAATTTGATTGCTGTTCGTATCTTAAGTCTTTTGTTTTGTTAGATTTTTTGCAGTATATCAATTGGAATTTTTTGTAAACTCTCAAATGTACACTACATAGTAGTTGGTTTTATTAATACAGCCGGATATTAAATAAATATCTTCTATTTCGTTCTATTCCTGTCTTGCTTGCTTTAGGTTTGAGCTATTTGTTTAACTAACGTCGCTAATGAAGCTATAAAAAGGCTCCTACAACATGCTAATGGACCACCATACTGTGTTAGACCCTCTTTGCAAAGCAAATTATCAGTTGAAAACTGATGCAACGATTACACCGATATCTGTTTAGTTGAATTACTAGTAAACAATTAGTATGAATACTTGCATATAATAATACATACATATAGTAAAACATATCCAGGTGCATATTTATAGCGAAATTAATAGTATTCTTAATATTGTTGTTTGTCGTACAACTACATTTATAATAATACAAACTGAAGCATAAAATATTCTGTGGGCTGTTTAAGAGTCCTTCAATAGCTATATTGTAGTCAAAAAATGCTTTTGGTGTGGCGTTTTATATTTTCGACCAAGATTTTATTATGTGATTTGTTGAGATTTTGATTTGCCAAAACACTGGTTTTTCAACAAAAGAACGGTACTACCAAAATTTGCTGAGAAAGTGCTTACTATACATATTATTAGAAGGGAACCCTTATCTATTTTATATAAATATATACAAATTTACTTGCAGTAACAAGCTTTTATAAAACAAATATAAAAATGTATATTTGTAATATGTAAACGCCTTTCGCAAAAAAAACTAACATAAACGCTGTAACCACATTCTCATCATACACATACATACATACCTATCGTTAAATTAGTATGCAAAGGCCCTAATATTTAATGTTAAAAATCAGTACAATGCTTATCGGTTAGTATACTTTTTCTAACAGTTTCCAAACTTATTTAATCCTTTAACGTACTTTTAAAAAAGTGACATTCCCGGAAAACTTTATACAAAAATAAGAAAAATATAATTTTTGAAGCCTGAAAGCACTTTCGTACTCTGCCGAAATTTTCACGTCTGTAAACGATATCAGAGGATAAATTTACCAATCTTAAAAAATATATAAAAAATACTTGCCATGTACTCTTTGTTTGGAAATTACTCATATGTGTGTTTTTTTTGTTTTTTAACTTTTTAGTAGTCAACAAAATTAAAGGTAACGTTATGAAGATGTATAAACATCAACTTTTTGAAAATACATGAGTTTTTGTAAATACGTATTTTGTTACTTGTTTGTTAAAGAACTGAATGAAGCCTTTATATTGATCTTGAATTATACAAATTATTAAGATATTAACATTTTGCATGCATAACTATAGACATTTATCTGATAATATGAGAAGTGTTGCTCATTTAATAACAAAATATAATACATAAAACGCGGGAATATAGAAAATAAGTATATATTATGTATGTATAAAGTATAACCAACATATAAAAGTGAAAATACACTATATATACATTTGTTGCTTGCATCTAAAAACATGCGTATCGATATTTTATTGCTTTTGGACGCCTGCAGAGATAATAAACAAATAAACACTTAAATGAATACACTTTAATTCAATAAAAAGTAAGTATTTTCAGATATTCGGTTTAGTTATCGCACAGCGGCTTGAATATCCGCTTGCTTGTGCGTGCCATCACAGAAAGGGCGATGTTTGGTTTGCTTGCAATTGCATAGCCAATAATCACCCGTTTTTTCCACTTGAAATCGCACAGGTCTGCAACGGAAAAAATTGCATAATGTAATAATTTGGGGCCACTAAAGCTTTGGTAATTACTTACCGTAACTTTATTTTTAAGAACTCATTCTTATGCATACCATCGCAAATTGGCTGGCATTTCGATTTTCCACATAGACACCAGCTATAAATTTTATCTAAAGGAGAGTTGAAACAGGTATACATAGGAGTATAGTATTATTTACAAAAGATTTTGATTCACCTACTCGCTTCTAAATGAATTTTGAATGGCTTCTTGTCAAAGATAGCACCATTCTCTGCTTGCAGATGGGATGTTTGACTATCTTCGAGTAAGTTTTTGGGTATCGTTTTAACCTCAGTGTTTGTTGATGGATTAGAAGACTTGGAAGATGAATACATCCGTTGCTGAAAAGAAAACAAATCAACGCGCAAGGTTAGTTGACAGTATGGTGATTGTGCCATGAATGATCGAATATACATTATTTGATTAAATTGGAATGCGTTTATCTTATATTCCTATTGAAAAATAGGTTAGTTTTAAGAAGCCCACCGCAGGGTTGAGTGCTGGTTTCGTGTGTTTTTGAGCAGTTAAGGTGTAGTGTCAGCTATAGGAAGCTTACCAGTAAAACTTGCCGTATACGCGCACATCTTATTAAAATCGACATTTTGTAATTAAAAATAAATTTACAAGGTTTTTCCTTTCTTTTAATCTACAATTTGCTCGTTTTATAATCTATTGACTATTCTCCTATTTTGACAGTACACAGATGTTTTTCAGTGTTGCCACGAGTTTTTTATAATCTGACCAGAGAACTTTTTAGAGGTGATAAACTTTTTCGGAGTTTTCGAATAAATATGAGGTCTGTTCGAAGAAATCACTAAAAGTGCAGTGCATAACAATTAGTGCGTTCCAGAACGTCTATGATTTGCAGGTTTTGCAGGATTTAGTCCAAAGTCGTTCCCGAACGCCACGTCCACAGCTGTTCCTGTAAAACCTGCAAATCGTGAAGTATGGGAACAGGCTATAATACCATGTTCTGACCGACAACGAAAACACTTTGAAAACGTGTTTTGAGATTGTGGGCTGAAGGCTGTTCACACCGGCTGTTAGTGTTTTCGTTGACATTTCTTACAACCTCTACAGTTTTGCTACACAAAAACAAAACCAAAATGCTTTTCCCTCATTTTCTTTTCATTAGCAATCTCTTACTTTCATTCTTATTTTACTTTTGCCAGCCAATTAACAATAAATCCGAAATGGCGTATTAAAGATGACAAAATATGACTTCCACTTCGATAAATAATCGAAAAAACTAGTGAAGACACCGATTGGAATGAGTGGAACGTGAGTTTTCAAGTAGTTTTCAGCGTAAATTGGTTTTCGTTTGACAGATTTTACATGAACGAAAACACAAGTTTTAATTCGAAAACCAGTTTTAGCAACGAAAACATGTTTTCGATGTCGGTCACAATTAGCGCAAGAAAAGGCTCATGGTGAAACGTATACAGAAGGTGGCGCTCATTGTGATACCGCTAACTCTCTCTTGGAAATTTTGACAGAAGTGTGACGTCATAGCAGATTTTGTTTATTGTCTGTGTAATATACATATACAAAAATATACATACTGACAGATCTCTCTCAGCCACCGGCAAATTTGCTATGACGTCACGTTACTATTCCGAATTTTACATTAACCAGCGCAATCTTGTATTCTATCGGTCTTGAGAAAAGGCTTAAGTTTAGTGCAAGAAAAAACCTCATCAAAGGTTTTTTTTACACTACGGTACCTACTCTGTTGCACTATACGAGTGGACCTGTGGAAAAATAACCAAAACTTTTTCGAAGAAATCTGTTTTAAGAGAGAATTCTATAGATTTCGATTCTTTGCCTAAAAAATTTAAAAAAAATTTTGCGCCCAATGCTACCACCTTTTTGCTTTTCATTAACTTCACTTTACACTCTGGCAACGTTCCAAACGGTCAAACTCAGCTGATTATGACACCGGAATACCAAAACAAGAATCCAATCAGCCGGTTGCGCCGGATGCGGCGAATTGGCAGATAGAGAGAATTTTATTTTTAAACAAAATTGTTGTGCTCGCACTGTGCCCAATAACGATCGTCATTTGTTTCTATAGCATGGGGAGCATTACCGGTCCAGTGGATAATTAGCCGTGTTGGGGCTGTGTTGTTGAGTGGAAAACGCGGCGGGTTTCGTTCGTTAAAAGTATTTATTAATATTTTATTTTAGAACGTCCGACCGAAATTTTCAATTCAAGTGTTCAGCGCTAAAATATAGTAGAAAATATAAGAAAACTAACTAAATTAACTTATTTTTATAGTTTTATATATGAAAATAAGTAAAAGTGCAGAAGAAAAGTGAAAGAATTGATAGAACAGGTAAAGGTCTCGAAAAGGGTGCGGTGAAATATGTCGGGTGACGTGCAACCGCGCAAGCGAAAGGATAAGAAAAAGAGACGTGGTGAGTTTACACTGCAAACCAACAATAAATTATTAAAGTACATGTCTGTCTATGTATGTATGAATACATACATACATATGTATGTATGAATATGTATAAATGAATGTAGTTATTTGTATAACTTTTTTTTTTTAAAGAGCGGTAAAGCGAAAATTTTTAGTGCTTTCTGTTGTAAAGACAGTTATGTGCACTTACTTATGGATGTACGAGTAGCTCTATATTAAAAAAAAATTTTTTTGGCGACACACATGATTTTCACAGTTTTTGTGGTTGTATAATGTAAATTAGAATAAACACATATGTACTTTATTCTTATTACATAGTACATATATATGTATGTATATACATAAGTAGCTGCCATAAGAAAAACCTTTGGATATGTCATATGCAATATCTATTGTATAAGAGTAAAATCACATTTTTCAAATTCGTATGTGTGTATGTTTTCATGCGTTAGTGTAAAAACTTGACCTTTTTTCTTCCTGATACATCTGTAGATACATATGTATATGTAGTATTCTTTTTATAATAATTTATTATTTAAACAGGAGCGGGTTTTAAAAATTATAAATCGTAATAAAAAATATTTTGTGGAGCATTGTTGCTGTTGTTTTCCTTAATATAGAAAGGCCCTAGCTCACATTTTTGTTCTTTCAAACATAGTTTGAAAATTTAGCAAAGAGCAAAGTTATAAAGTTGCGAATTTTTGTCGAAGTGCTGTTTCTTATTAAACATAATATTTTAGCTAACGATAAATTATATATTTTTTTCAATTGCTATTGGATATATTTTGAGCTATTTGACAGATTTTGTTTAAATCTGGAAATGAGTTAGGGCGTTTCTATATTAAAGTAACCGTAGTTTTTCATTCTGCAAAAAAAAAGTGAAGTAAGCTAAAATAAAATGCCTTAAAATACCTATAACAAAATAAAATGAAATAAATTTAAATAAGTATAATAAAAAAAGTCATGCAATTTAAAGTAAATATAAAGGTGAAAGGAAAAATCTAAATATATAATTAAAAAAAAAACTAAAATCGAATGAACTTGGTGTGAAATGTTTTAAAGGGTTTCCAAATTTCTAGCATCTTTAAAATTTCAACATGGAAATAAATAAAGTTCTTATTATGCATGCGAAATAGCATTGTTCTCTTGTGCATTATTTTCCACAACTTTTTTTGTACAAGCACATGTGCATAAATTTACACATCGTAGTAAATTTGTATACACACAAATGCACATATGTATATATATTTACAGTAAATTACGCACGAAATGATACACAGTATCATAAGCCAATGATTTCGAATTTATTTGGTACACACATTATTAGCAATTCTAATTTTTTAACTTATTCAAGTGGAGTAATATATTCGAGGTACAGTGAAACCTCCCATAATCGGACACTCACGATTCCATAGTTTTTGTTTATGCATAGGAGGTGTAAAGAAAATTTAACCACAAAACTGAAAGTAAACTTTGACAATTTTATTTTTGAAAAACAAGTCAAATAGGTTAAATAAACAATTGGGTATTATTTTTGGAAGTCTTCTGAAAAGAAATAGAGTTTTCCGCTCGAAAACTATTGATTTTCAATAATTCTATACCATTTTTACGAATTTTTTTTTTCCCATACATATAATTTACATGGAAAACTGAGCGACCTCTAAATATTTTAAAATCGACTTTACTTAGTTTTACCACCCTAATGTACATACATATGTATGTTTGCAGATTTCGACAGTTTTGTTTAGTTATTTTATTTTACTTTCAATCAACGATTTGTGTTGTCCGCTTATAAGGGTATGCTGCCCATTTATGAGATGCTTTTTTGTCGTGCTTTTTATTTTTGTTCAGATATATTTTTTTTGCCCAACCAAAAAACTCAAAAAGTATGTGTTCGTTTTAAAGCTTATCAAGGCAGTACGCAGTTCTCAAGTAATTTGTTACACTTTCTACTACGGTTTTCTAAAGTTTTTTTTGAAAAAAGAGCGCAACGAAACCTATGTTTGCAAGAGAAATACATATATGCCGGTTCCATTACTTCTTGAGGAAAGAGTGAGGCAACAAGCTGTAAAATATCAGAGGTAAATTTTTTTGGACACACACACACATACACACACACACACACACACACACACACGAAATAATGACAATTTTTGGCTTTACCGTTTTTTTAAGCTTTAGCCGGAAAACTGTAATAAAGGTACATTCTCCCGTACCTTCTTATTTGTATTGACAAATATACATATGTATGCGTATGAACAAACATATAGCCATTATCAATGAAAAGGTTCTTGTTTGGCAGTTTTTAAATTTTATAGGTGAAGTATAATTACGGTGACCAGATTTCCGTGGACAAAAATCGAGGCATTTCTAAAGCATCAAATCCGAACATACAATTTGGTTTTTAGAATAAAAAGACAACATCTTTTAATTCACTTTTATTTAAGACAAAACAAAGAGAAAAAAACTTGACAAATGGTCGCAAAAATGTATACACACAATATACATAATATCTACAGCTTATGTTTTTCATATCCTTGCATTTTTTGAGGGAATTATGCCCAGTTGCACCAATTAATTTAAAATTTATCAGCCTGTTAAAATCAAACATTACTTAATTTTGTTCGGAAAATTTGTCGTTTTAAATTTTAAAAGTCTGATAAATTTTAAAATCGATTGGTGAAACTTAGGGTTTAGTATTATTTTTTATAATTTCACTAGGGCTGCGTTTCACCAGATTCATTAAGTGCAAATTACATACGTCCCGATTTTCAAAAAGTATTCAGCGGGACAATTTTCTCAAAATTGGTACTGTCCCGCCAAAATCGGTACGAATGATCACCGTAAGTATGAGCACTTTAGGCGCGGGCGTTTATCGCATTGATGAAATGTACATCCATAATTTTCGATACAGCGGAGGGCATACATCGAAGCATCGAATAGCATGTGATTTTTCAGATATTATTACCAGTGTTGCCAGGTCTTCGGCATGAGAAAACGTCGCTCTTGGTCTGAAAAAACGTCATTTTCTACCCAAAAACGTCTTTTTCAAACGTATGCACAAAGAATTGTTCTTATTAAACTTTCATTGTATACAAAGGTACATACATATGTACGTAAGGTATATAAAAATGTCATTTGCTCATATTTAAAATTCATTCTAAACTGGTTTGAGATCGTTAATATAAAAATCATTTTATACATACACTTGTGATCAGCTGATTAAGTCATCGATTTCGGCTGTTTCTTTTTTGTTTATTATTTTTCCATAAAAGCTTAGCTCATTATATAACAAACAAAATATAAATCCACATCTCAAACTTTCTGCAAAAATTATAAAAAATTGGCAAAATATCAGCTAGATTTTCAACTTTTTATTCAGATTTTTTAGAATTTTTTTGAGTATACAGGTTGATAGCCCATTAATTTCCAGGGCAATAATGTGCAAGTTTTAAGGTGTTAAAGAATCGCGTTGATTTTTAATATAATTTTTTTTCTTCTTGTAAACATTTGGTTAAGTGATCTGTTGTCGAAAATGCTAAATTACGTTCTGTTAAGAAGGAACATAGCAATATTTCAGCCTTTTTACGTTCATTACATTTTCAATAAGGGGCCCCATGCGACTAGTTGTGCCATTTTCTTTATGCGCTTAAATAAGGGTTAAGTCATCTGTGTCGAGAGAATAAATATTTTTTGAAGCAGCTGCTGCAAAAAACAAAGCTTGTAAAGATTTATTATGAAAATAATTCAAAATCAGTTGTACTTACAAGATTTAGTAACAAAGAAAAATTACTGGCAAGTTAAAAAACGTCATTTTTTACACAAAAAACGTCCAAACGTCAACAGGATATAAAAAACGGCCAAATGACGTTAAAAACTTCAACCTGGCAACGCTGATTATTACACAACAAAGCTTTCTAAGAAAATTGTGGATTTGTGTGTGAGCTAATTTCGTTTCTAACGGACTATTGAATCAAGTCAAAAAGTTTTTCGTAAAACTATAGAAATCATAAAAATTTGCATTTTTAAGTCAACATTAATTCTCCCCTGATTTTCAAGTTTTTTTAGAAAAACTTTTTATTGCAAGTCTGTTGTCCATTTCATTCGATATTATGATTTCTAGATACATACATACATATGTATGTGTAGCTTAAAGAGTAATTTAATTTTGTATGGAGAAAATGTGGGGGGTGGGGGGTGATCATTAAAAAGGCTTACAAAATTTTAATTGCTTCACTTGTGCACCTTACACTAAATTTAACGAAAGTAATTTAAGTGAAAAATGATTTAAATTTTTTGAATTTTATACGGAAATCGACAGAAAAAAAAAATAATTTTCCATTTAAGTTGCTGGTGAAACCGGCAGTTAATCTATTTCAATGAGATGGATAATAAATCTGTAATCAAGAGTTTTTCTAAAAAAAAATGTTTGGTCAAACTCACTTCTCTCAATGCATCGGTGTTTTTCCGATAACCCTACCAGAAATTAGTTTAACTTGACGTACTATGATATCAATAAGCACATCAAACAAACAAGAAATACCACGTGAAAATAAAAGCGAAAATGATTGCACGATAAGTTCAAGTTCAGGTTGTTAACAGTCGTACGCATTATTGTCCCATTTGAAACGTGTGCAACTGTATCTAGTATGTATGTAGTTATGATTACCTTGCAGGTCTGCCTCGCTTTAATTCTCATGAGCCAATTCCCTCCTTTTTCAGCATACCTAAACTTTGCATGTGATTTATTGTTCTCTAAACATAACATATCTTTATTTTTTTTTTTTATTAATCAGCTTAATGTTTTTCCTTTATTCTAAGTGAATATGCATAAATACATCTGTATGTGTTTACTTGTCTGTACAGTACCTACTCGCATATAAGAGTACTCGCGTTGGTATGTAAATCTTCTTGTACATATGTATGTATGTATGTTTTCATGACGACGGCGAACTTTGCGTGCTATTTTTCAGAGATTTGCGCTGAAATTTATTT